GCCCCCACCCAGTCCCCCGCGGCGCCTCCAGGAGCCACCTCCCTGCGCTGGGCCAGGGGCCCCCTGTGCTGGGTCCTGGGGCCATCGACCTGATGCCAGACCCCAAGAGTTACCTGGGACCCCAGGCCCTGGCGAAAAATGTTATCTTGCGCACCTAGACTCTACCTAATTTGCCCCCCAGCCCCATCCTGTGCACCCACACAGTCCCGTGAAGCACTCTGGCTTGTATTCGGTGCCTCTCGGAGTATACTGGGCACCTAGACCCCTCTTAATCCTGGACCTCCAAATCCTCGCTCTACTCGCTCCAGAATTTTATTCTGTGCTCCCAGACCATCACTCCGGATGGTTCCAAAATTTCATCCAGGGTCTCGCCCAGACACTAGACGCCCCTGGCACAGAAGGGTTCAAATGTCTCCCCCTCTACCCTCCACCCCAGGACCGCCTCCAGCCAGCTGGTCTTCTCGCTTCCGCGCGGCTTCCCCCAGCCCTCCATCCACAAGGCACGGCAGTCTGGGGTCGTGGGCAGCAGTTCCCTTTTGGTCCAAAAATGAATGGAAGCCCCTGAGAAAGTAGGCATGCGTGAACTCGGGAGCACAGGGCTCCGGCTACAGGACCAGGACCTTTCCAACGCTCCTTTCAACCAGGACACCCACCGGGTTACCGCCGCCCCCAGCAGAGAGCATCCTTGGGGGCGGAGTCTGGGCGGATCCAGCTCCCAGGAAGGGGCGGGGCCTCCTTTGCCCACGTCTCAGGGCGTGGCCAGACGGGAAAAGGCCGCGTGTCCAGCGATCCCCAGCGTGGGGCCAGCCTGCTAACGGGAATAACCTGGCCCTGTCTTCTCTTTCCCATCCCTTCTTTTCCCCACATTTGTCCCCACCGTGACCCTGGGGAAGGAGTGTACGGAGAAGGGGACGCAGCCCTTGGGGTTGGGGAGAACTCCTAAGCTGAGCTTTTCCTCTTAGCTACCCCTCATCCTAAGTCCTTCCCACTGGACAAGTAGGTTAAAAATCATAGTCTTTAGCTGGTATAATGGTACACACCTATAATCTCAGCGTTCGGGAGGCTGAGGCAGGAGGATCTCCATAAATTCAAGGCCAGCCTAGGCTACATAGTGAGTGAGGCTAGCCTGACCTGCATAAGGAGACTCTTCCTAAAACAAAACAAAACAAAAAAACCACTGAAACACTGACATGAGGGCCAGAATATATGCTAGGCAGCATCATGCCAATAGATTAACGGGCATTAAAGTAAAATGATTTGGATGCATTCGTTTCCTGAAGCTGCTATTACAAATTTCACGTTTTAAAACAACAGACATTTACTCTCTTAGAATTGTGGAAGCCGGAAATCCAAAATCAGTATCACTGGGCTCAAGCCAAAGGTGTTGGCAGAACTATGCTCCCTCTGGAGGTTCTCAGGGAGAATTGTTCCTTCTCTCTTCCAACCTCTGGGGGCTGTCACATCCTTTGACTTGCGACCACATCACATCACTCCAGTCTGAGGATGGCATCTTCAAAGCTCTGTCTGCTCCACCTTCTACTCCATGTGTAGTCAAATTTCATTTTGCAGGAGGCTGAGGCAGGAGGATCACTGTGAGTTCGAGACCAGCCTGGGCTACACAGTGAGTTCTAGGTCAGTCTCAACTACATAGTGAGACCCTGTCTCAAAAAACAAAAACAAAAAAATTTGTTTTTCATTTTGCCATCTCTTAGAAGAATGTATGTGATTGCATTAAGGACCCACCAGACAACCCAGCATGATCTTCTCATCACTCAGTCACATCTTCAGAAACTCTTTGATCTGAGGTAATGTTTGGGAATTCAGAGGATTAGGTGGTGAGCCTATGTTTGGGGACCAGTCTTTAATCTACCACACAGTGTATCCTCAGCATTTCTAAGCCACCCCCATCAGGCATTATATATATTTCATCTGTGTATTTTTCTTGAACATGTTTCAACTTTTCAACCTGTGGTACTTCTCTGGGTAAATAATTATGTGTTTTATATTTTACCTATTTAATCAAACCAGACAACTACCAAGAATACAATGTAATTTAACAAGTGATAAAAACACGTTACATGACTTGGGCAAGTTCACTCCAAGGTTGGTACCCAATAAAATTGGAAACACAAATACGCACCCCCTAAAAAACACAAAAACCCTGTAGGAAGCATTCATAATAGCACTATATATAGGGGCCAAAATAGAAAGAGCCTAACATCCATCAACTGCTGATGACCAAATACATCTATACAGTGGAATATTATAAGCTGTGAAAGGAAATGTAATACTGATATGTGCTACAATATGAATGAATCTTGAAAATAATACAATAAAAAGCCAGACAAAGGTCCATAAATTTCATTTATATACAATGTCCAGAACAGGTAATTTTTTTTTTTTGAGACAGGGTCTCACTATGTAGTTGAGACTGACCTGGAACTCACTGTGTAGGCCAGGCTGGTCTTGAATTTACAGCTATCCTCCTGCCTCAGCCTCCCCAGTGCTGGGATTACAGCCGTGCACAGCCATGCCCGGCCCCTGAAACAGGCAAATTTTGTAAAGACAAAAACTACTTAATTGTTACAAGGGGAAGAGGGCAACAGGGAATGATTGCTAATGGGTATGTGATTTCTTTTGAAATACGAAATGTCCTAAAATAATACTGATAATTGCACAATTATGTAAATAAACTCTCAATTGCACACTTTTTATTTTATTTTGGAGGGAGTTTGAACCCAAGTCCTTCAACATGCTAAGTGTTCTACCCTTTAGCCAACCCTGAATTCCATAGTTTAAAAGGTTATATTTTAGGGCTGGGATTTAGCTCAGTGGTGCTGGGGATTTAGCTCAGTGGTGCCGCTGCCTGCCTCGTAAGCATAAGGATCTGCGTTCGATCTCCAGTACAAAACAAAGAGTATATTTTATGGTATGTGAATTATGACTCCATAAAGTTATTTTTAAAAATGGCACCTTGTGCTTGCTTTGGCAGCACATATAATACACTTGCAACAATACAGAGATTAGCACGGCCCCTACCAAGGATGACATGCAAATTAGTGCAGTGTTTCATATTTTTTATTTTATTTATTTTTGGTACTGGGTATGGAACTAGGGACCTTGCGCTTGTGAGGCAGGTGGTGGCACCACTGAGCTAAATCCCCGGCCCTGTATAGCAGTATTTTTTGTTTTTATTTTGTTTTGTTTTGTTTGAGACAGAGTCTCACTACGTAGTTCAGACTGACCTGGAACTCACTATGTAGCCCAGGGTGGTCTCGAACTCACAGCAATCCTCCTGCCTCAGCCTCCTGAGTGCTGGGATCACAGGCATGCGCCACCATGCCTATGCAACTTGTTAAGAGAACATGTTAAGTGAACTAAGTCATTAAGTCAGATCCACAAGCTTAAATATCACGTGGTCTCTCTTAGAATCTCTCTCACCATATGTATGGTAGCACACACCTGTATATATGATGTGAATACAATTATATTGTGTATCACACTCTTATATACATATATACTCTCTCTCTCTCTCTCTCTCTCTCTCTCTCTCTCTCTATATATATATATATATATATATATAAACTACTGTAGGACTCAGTATAGAGATTCCTAAAAAAACTAAAAATACACACACACACACACACACATATGGAGAGAAAGAGATAAAGGATAGGTAAATAGGAAGTAGGGAGAAGTTCAAATCATTCTCTAAATTATCTATTCCATTGTTTCAAAAGTATCAGGTCGGGGATTTGTCTCAGTGGTTCTGCCACCCGCCTCAAAAGCACAAGGGCCTGAGTTCGATCCCTGGTACCAAAAAAAAAAAAAATCTTGCTGGGTGTGGGGCACATGCCTGTGATCCCAGCACTCAAGTACCCGCGGTGCGCAGGGCACTCCCGTCATTCCACTAAGCCCTAATCCAAGATCTGTACCTGCCACCTCCAGGTGGGGCAGTAAGGTCCAGAGGGGAAGGATTACATAAACATCCATCTTGGACTCGAACCTCCCAGCTTTGCACTCTTTGGCCCAAGTAAGCCTGTCACTTGGAGGCGCCTCCTCAGAAGGCTTCTCTCCATCTCTTTGACTTTGCTGCTGTCGTCCACTCTGCACCGGGCCCCACTCAAGCCTTGTCTTAGTTGGTATCTATCAAAAGGGGAGCTCCTACTCCCAGGGAGTGAGGTCCCTGGGACCACATCTCAGCCCTCACTAGGTGCCAGCCAGGAGCTGCAGGATGAACAAGTGAACGAACGATCAAGCGGAGAAATTTCATTCATTCATTCAGCAAATACTTATGGAGTGAACCAGCTGTGTGTTACCAGGAACACAGCACCAATCAAAACAGTCTAAGACTTTCTGGACTCCTAGAGCTCACATTCAGGGGAGAGAAGAAAAGAGCCAAAGAGGAAGACCCCTAGCTCTTGTTCTCCTTGGTCTCCCACCCCCGGCCCCCAATCACAAGACAGGTTTATGAAACTCCCTCTGGTGACCACACTGGGACCTACAGAGCACAAGATTGAGTGACACTTAACTGGGCACTACTCTGTGGAGGCCTATTATCAACAGTTTTGTAAAAACAGCTGGGCCAGCCGGGCATGGTGGCGCACCCCTGTAATCCCAGCACTCCGGAGGCTGAGGCAGGAGGATCACTGTGAGTTCGAGACCAGCCTGGGCTACATAGTGAGTTCCAGGTCAGTCTCAACTACAGAGTGAGACTCTGTCTCGAAAAACAAAAAACAAACAAAAAGTAAAAAAAAAAAAAACCAAAAAACAGCTGGGCCAGGCGGGGCGCGGGGGTGGGGGGAGTGGTACACACCCATAATCCCAGGACTAAGAAGATGGAGGAAGGACTTGAATTATGCAAGTTCAAGGTGAGCCTAAACTGCATAGCAAGACCATGTTTAAACAAAAGCAAACCAGCTCAGAGCCAGGTGTGGTAGCACACCCTGTAATTCCAGCACTCGGAGAAGCTGAGGCAGGAGGACTGCAAGTCTGAGCTCAGCCTAGGCAATTTAGCAAAACCTGTCTCAAAAAACAAAACAAAACAAAACAAAAAAACAACTATATATCTTCATGTCTGTTGGAGGGGAACAAAATGGAAAAAACTGAACGCTCATGACTCTGAGACGATTCCTGATGAAGAAATGACAGAGTGAGCACAAAAATGGGTGAATCCCAGAAACAGAGTCCTTCTCCCTCCTACTGTCTCCTCCACCTTCATGGAACCCTGAAAGCCAGCCTGTTACTCTCCTATGTACTAGTTCCCAGCCCAGGAGCCCACAGGGGAGGTTCCCAGCCCAAGGAACCACTTAAAGCTGGGGCAGCAGTAATCAGTATTAAGGCCGCTGCCCAGGCCCTGACCTCACACTTTGGCCTTGCTCTGCGATGCCCATCTATTTGTTTTTAAATTTTGTATTAGTACATGTTTGCAGTACATAGTGATTATATCCATCGTGGTATGTACACAACACATCATAATTCCTTTTATTTCCCCTCCAGTCCCTCCTCCTCCCTCCATCTCTTGGTCCTCTTTCCTTTTGCAAAATAGCTACCTCCCTATTTCCTATCATGTATCCTTTATTTTGCTCTTTATTTATAGTTTGGGTTTCTCACCTAAAGGAAACTGTGATATTTGATTCGGCTTGTGTTTGTGACTTCATTTAACATTATGGTCTCAAGGTGCACCTATTTGTCTATAAATAATGCGTTTATCCTTCTTTATGGCAGAATAAGTACTCCATTATGTACAAATACCATACTTTATTTATCTGTTGATGGACATATAGGCAGTTTTGAAGATGTAGCTATTATGACCTGTGCTGCTTAAACAAGGGTATGCAGGTATCACTGTTAATACGATGTCTACCCATTTTGGGAAGACACTTAGAAGATACCTAGGTCAAATGGAATTTCCAGTTTTTTTTCTTTTGTTACCGGGGATTGAACTTGGGACCTTGCGCTTGCGAGGCAGGCGGTGGAACCACTGAGCCAAATCCCTGGCCCGAATTTCCAAATTTTTAATGAATCGCCATGCTTATTTCCATAGTGGCTGTACCAGTTTACATTCCTCTCAATAAGGTAGAAAGGCTCCTGGTTTATTTTTATTTTTATTTTTTCCGAGTCTCACATTGTAGTGCAGGCTAGTCTTGACCTCACTATGTAGCCCAGGCTGATCTCAAACTCACAGCGATCCTCCTAACTCAGCCTCCCAAGTGTTGGGATTACAGGCGTGCACCACCATGCCTGGCTGAAAGGCTCCTTCTGCCCACCCCCTGCACTTTCCCATCACTTTTTATTGTTGGATTTCTTAATAATAGCCATTCTTTCCCCAGTAACATGGAATCTGTGTTTCTTTAGTTTGCATTCTCTAATGTCCAGAACTATTGAACATTTTTTCGTTTATTAGCCATTTGTACTTCCTCTTCTGAGAAGTGTCTATTTCTGTTGCCCATTTAAAAAAAATTTTTTTTTGGTACTGGGGATCAAACTTGTGCCCTTGCCCTTGCAAGGCAGGTGGCAGCACCACTGAGCTAAATCCCTGGCCCTCTGTTGCCCATTTCTAAAATTAGGTCTTTTACCTGGGAGTGGTCTAATTTTTTTTAGTTCCTTATAGATTCCAGATATTAGCCTTCTGTCTGAGGAATAGCGGGCAAAATTTTTTTCCCATTCTGTAGGTTGTCTCTTCACTTTATTGGTCGGTTCTTTCCTTTGCTGTGCTAAAGTTTTTAATTCGATAGGATCCCATTTGTTTGTTTCTTTATTTTTTCCTGTACCTGGGCTCGAACTCAGGACCTTACACTTGAGAGGCAGGCATGTTTAGACACTGAGCTAAATCCCCGGCCCCATTTGTTAATTTTTTATGTTATTTCTTGTGCAATTGGGATTCTGTTCAGGAAGTCCTTGCCTATGCCTATGTCTTCAAGAGTTTTACCAATTTTATTTTCCAGAAGATTGTTTCTGTCTTACCATTTAAATGTTGATCCTTTTTTTTTTTTTTTTTTTTT